TAACTAATATATAGTACTATATATATATATATATATATATATATATATATATATATATATATATATATATATATATATATATATATATATATATATATACACTATGTATGTATATATGTATATATATATATATATACCAAATGCTAATCTGATAGAGCATGTACATCATGCACACACCATGCTGTTCGTTTTATGCCCGCATCATGTGCACGCTATATGACACGTGTGAACCCTCATTTCAATTGTCCATCGCTCAACCCATGCAGTGTACGGACTCAGGCAATCCAAACAACAGCCGAGGCCATAGAAAACGACCTTCTGCAGACATTCAACGCTACAACCGAAGGTCTGTGGTTGTTCTTTTGATTGTGACAGTAAATGTAATTCACGTACGTGACTGGAATGTATCACGTCGAATCGAATTTTAGGTTCTATCAGCCATGCTGTCCAATGGATAGATTGAGTTACTGGTGCTGTGGCTGGTCACTTAACATGACGGTTGAGGCGATTTTTAACATGATGGTTGTGATGTTTCTGTTTAACATTTGTATTCCAATCAAAAGGACAAATAGATTTGATGGGATGGCTATGCAATGAGTAGGCTTTTCCCCATTAATTCGATGGTTACCTAGAATTGTTACTGTTCTATTGAGTTTGCCAATGACCCTTTACTTAGCAAACACCATATATTTCGGTTCACCCATACCAATAAACCTATTATCCAGTTTGTAGCATATATGCTTAAAATGTGAAACTGTAATTCGTCGGTTTACCAGCTCTGTGAGTGGGCTCATCAGCATACTACTTTACAGGCATGTATGCAAATGTATATATCCAACACCAATGCATAAGCACGTACTATCCCCTTGGCATGCACACTTGTGAGGAAATAACATCTGCGGCTCAGCAGGGGTCACTACAGCAACAAGAGATAGTGAATAAATGATACGTATACAGCCAGTTTCGATTTCATGCACGCTTACGCTTTCGCACTGTTTCGCACATGTTGAATTGTCTCTGACAGCTCTGCATCAGCTTGAGTACGAACCTCACGGAGTGCAAACTGGCCTACGCTCACTGAAAGGGCAAATCATCAATCGTCTGGTGGCATTGGACGAACACAAGCACGCCAACCGCGCACACGCTATGTTTGAAACGGTATGTATAACGGGACGAGAGCGTACACAGGCGCATACATGTGCTGGTACGCTTTCACCTATGTCAACTGCGCTCTTAGAAGTACAGATACTATTAACTGATGGCATTCAATGCACGTATGGTGTATTCCCACCCATATAGGCACACAAATACACAAATGTAGTCCACGGTCTTTGTATTGACAGACTAGTTGTCCACTAGTGGCATCCTCCCGCACATTCACGACGGCGCAAATTTGCAAGAGAGGTTACATACACGGATACACATACTTATACATCCATTAGATGCTCTGCTGGATGCTTGGTTACTTTATTACTACTGTGTACCGTGTTATGACCTATTGTGGTCACTTTGCAGGTAATCTACATGCATGTGCATTGTCCAGTGTCTATGTGTTACGTGTGAATGTGTGTGTAATGTTGCCTTTCTGTTCCTTTCCAGGCGACCAACATGACAGAACGCATGATGGCGCTCACGGCACTCTCGCACTCCACGAGCAACTACAGAACCGACGCCTTAGATCAATTCTATCAAAGGCAAGTGGCTGTGGTGACGTGTTTCTTTATACTTGTGTTTAGTTATATGCAATTCCATCACATTTCGAGTACATATATTCGCATTCATGTTTTGGAAAGGTATGTAGCCATGAAGTGCACCCAAAACCCCACCTGTCACTTGGCTGCAACACCCTTGGCGCTCCACAATCCGTTTATGGACGAGAACTGGGTTGGATTTATTGCCCTTTTCAGACACTGTGGTTCAATAGTATACGACAGGATCACATATCATCTTGTAGCGGACTCTTCCGTAGCAATGTGTGCAGCCGTTGTATGGACCATGTGGGGTACATGGCCTGAATGGTGTTTGCCTTCCACTGGTGAAGTGGCACTTGAGAAATGCACTTTTTCATACGCCTGTGCAAAGTAAACCAAAGTACGCTGTAGCTGTTTGATCAGCTGTCTCTCTCCAGTGAGTAGGGTTCTGCGGTGTGGGCATACTATTTTGCTAGCACGAACATCTTGTGCATTGATGGTCAAGCGGCCCACACCTTCATAAGTCAATAGGACTCAGAAATACAAATTGGGATTGTTTCTAATTCCTTCACAAGTCCAACATGATTTAGTATTACAATTTGGGATTGGTTCTGATCCCGTTATAAGTCAACAAGATTCAGAAAAACAATCTAGGATTGTTCTATTACGTTTCGTTTTGTTATCCCGTCTGAGGCATAAGATAAGTGTCGCTTGTACAATGATAGCTCAGAGGTCCATCTGAATCGAACCCCATTCGTAGATGAGATTATGCGGTATAGTATTGTAGTATTGATATTTTCAAGATAGTTCATTTTATCGAATCTTGCCCAACGCACTATCAGTGGACTACGACTGAATAGTCTAGCAGTTTCTATGTTGTGCCAAGGACCACCCTATTTATGGTCCATTTCCAATTACAAACATATTTGGACTTCACGGGCGGGTACCTTCCAATTAGAGGTTTCCATTGACCTACTATTGCATCACTACTGACAAACAAGTGTACTTGCATGTTGGCATAGGTCTTAGCGGTGTCCCTAAACGCCGTAAATGTTTCTGCGCACCAATTTAATTTAGCACACGTTAATTAATTTAGCACATTTTAATTCAATTTAACACCCTTTTCAATGCATTTGCTCCTGGTGTATCCGTTGCAGATGGCGAACGGAGCAGCTGAACGTAATCGCATGGCTAGGAGTTCAGGTATGTGCATGGTCTAATGTGTGAATCTTTAAATTATGACCTGTTCAACTTCGTCTATCGTCCTCTCTGCATGTTAATGTGTAAGCCCATGAAAATCAGATCTCTCGCCTCCACGAGCGTCCGTAGTTTGATTGCATCTGAGGGCATTCGAAGTCAATTTACAACACTAATAATCATCGGGCGTGTTTTGTGTGTACACGGTGCTTTCATTTGAACAAGTGTATGAGTACGAGTGTGTGTATGTAGTGTATTAGCATTTTGTGCGCGCATATGTATCTGGCTGATATATTTCCTTGTGTATGATCGCAATTTTTGCTACAGACACACTAGTATCAGTAAGTATCACAGCTCCTATCTTATCAATTGCGTATAAACCCGTTCGTGGACCTTTTCTTCAATTCCTCCAAATTATCGGTGACAATCGTCACTTGTAGACGCTATGCCACATATCCGATACGTTTTCACATATCCAATTCCCTTTTACACGCTACCTTGATTGCAGGCGAGGAGTGAAGTTGTGAATAATGTCAGCAAAGTCAGGGCCTTGTTGTCTCACGAGGTATGTTTTGAGACTTGTTCGATGTGTATAGTAAACCTAGGCGTAATAGACCTAGGCATCGCAGACCTAGGCATAGTAGACCTAGAGCTGACACCATATACATACAAGTACACGCTTCATAGGCCAAAAGTTCTTATGGGGGCCAAGCCAAAGGTTCTTATAGGGGCCTGCACTGGGTTATTACTTCATTGTGAGGAGCTGAGGATATATCGCAGGTGCTAGTTGTTTGGGTTTTGTATAACGGGTGCGATATGTATATGGTGCGTGCTGTTGACACTGAGCAAGTACTGTGCCCTTTATACGTTGTTCCGCTAATTCACAGGTACTGTCTGTTTGTTATTGATCATATGACGCGTGTGGTTTACGTTTACTGATATATGACGCGTGTGGTTGACGTTTATTGATATATGACGCGTGTGGTTGACGGTTTATTTATCATATGGCGCGTGTGGTTGACGCTTATTGATCATATGAGGTGCGTGGTTTACGTTTATTGATATATGACGCGCTTGGTTGACGGGTTATTTATCATATGACTCGTGTGGTTGACGTTTATTGATAACATGATGCGCGTGTTTTACGTTTATTGATATATGACGCGTGTGGTTGACGGTTTATTGATCATATGGCGCGTGTGGTTGACGCTTATTGATCATATGATGCGTGTGGTTTACGTTTATTGATATTTTACGCGTCTGGTTGACGGTTTATTGATCATATGACGCGTGTGGTTGACGCTTATTGATCATATGATGCGTGTGGTTTACGTTTATTGATATATGACGCGTATGGTTGACGTTTATCGGCCATATGACGCGTGTGGTTCGTAGTATGTATGAATTAGTCTGCACGTTTCCCGATAGCCTTAGTAACAATCTCACCTCGATTCGAAGACTAGTTGAAGCTGTTGGTCCCTATCAAATGTACACACATTTGGTGTTGCGTGGGAGTCTTGACATGGCGCTCGCCAACTACTATGTGTGCACTTGCTAACCATAGTGTACGAATGTATGCACTATTTGACTTGACTCTTGAACGCAGAGCTTCGACATGCGCACACCGAATAAGGTATACGCGCTAATTGGCGGGTTTAGTACTAGCCCCGCAAACTTCCATGCGGCAGATGGCTCGGGCTACGAGTTCTTGGCTGATAGTGTGCTGGCTGTGGACCAAATCAACCCTCAGGTGTGTGAGGAATATCATACGTACTATGTTAAAATGACCAGTAGTATTATATAGGAGCACTTCCATCGCCTTTTATTTGCTTGCAAGCGATTCCGAAGTAGCGCCTACATGTATTTATTTTAAGTTTTTTTAACAGATAAGCCGCCAATTCGGTTGGCGAACTTGGTTGAGAAGGAAACGGTTCATAATTGATGTACAAGTATTGTGGTATTCGCGACAGACTCTTCTCATGCATCACCCGAATGCTCACTTTCATATACCAATCACACACCTGGGAACTCCCCATCGTTGCTGATTATAATCAGCCTCTCATCCGAGTACTCGTCTTGGGTATAGGTCGGATAGTCGCACCTATTCCGCAGGCCACTCAGTGTCTGGCCATTTTTCTATCCTTTAAGTGTGTGCACACCACCGATATTCAGATTAGACGGACACAACCGATGGGTCGGATCAAGTGTATATTCATTGCGATGGTTGCTGTTTATACGCATACATATGCACTATCACTCCCACCCCTTACTTTGCAGAGATGCAGGAACGCAGACTCATTGCGGTACTCTAGTGTATCTATTCTTTTTTGCATTTGCGCATACGTATATACACTTTGATCCATCACACGATCCTTCGGGTTTGAATTCCTGCCCCCCACAGACATATTACCAAGATTTATAGTTACAATCTATCTTGACTCCTGTTCCCCACAAATACGAATGCACTCAGAACTGCACTTACTCGTCGCTTTACGATAACCCAACTACAGGTGAGTGCCCGACTTCTAGGACCTTTCACAACTGCAAATAACTATCAACCGCTGTATCGAGATGGTATGGTGCAACAACTGCTACGCTTGGAAAGAGCGAGTCTTAGTGGGAATGCCAGTGAGATCGTTGGAAAAGCTCTTCGTTTTGTGCAATAAAAATCAGACGTAAATTTGCCTGCTATCAAGGTGTATATCGTTGTGCTGCGGTGGTTTGTGCCTTACTTGCAGAAAGAGGTCAATATTTCCTCAAGCTTGTAAAATATGATGCACCAGCCAAAAATGATGTATTTACTTCCACATATAGGTAAAATGTAGTTTTGTGGGTCAATGAGACGCATTTAAGCGGAAATAGATTAATTTTCTGCCAATGTTTCTCTCCACCGCCTCTGGTAGAGTTGTATTTACAAACTGAGACCACAGTATTCTTTTGCGGTCGTCTGATCTATTTAGGATTGATACGCAGCTCAGTTTTAAAGCGTTGATCATTGTTTGTTGGCAAATCCTGACATGAATAAAGTCAACATAATGTAGCGCCGACAACGGATGATACAACTCAACACTGATAGCCTTGCGTGATTTTAGATTTACGATATGTTTTCTCAATTTCATTCGATATAGACATTTGCCACGATACACGTCAATATTTTAGGGTGAGCTTGGCCGTCTTGACGCAGGGATTCAAGAGAAATGAATATTATTATTTTTGGAAAACGATGAATTCCGGGTCTAAGGGGCCTCCAAACTTCATGCAGAAATCGCTTGCGGCGTAGGTAATATGTGAATTTTTTCAAGGCACTAAATAAATGTCAAGGAATGGTTCTCACAGAATCGAACGGTTACCTGCTTCAGATCATCTGCGCATCTACGGCAAGTTCTCGATATCTACCATAAGTGGAATCATTTACAAGTCGTCGTGTCAATCGCAGACCCTGTAAAAAATACTCTACTCACATTGATGAGTTTTGGAAAGTATCGTGCTGTGGGGCTTTACAGCGGTAGCATTGTACCCATCTATGATCACGTGCGCGTATTGGCTATAGTGATAAGTGTTCAACTATGCCCAGTTCTTTTCCACACACCTTTACCATTGTACTCAGTCCCTTCTGTTCCGCTTTTAAAAAGAATGCCACGCGTGGGCACACTGTATATTGAATTTTAATCTCAAGCTGATGTGGTTGTATCGTAGTCGGACTAGCGAATATCATACCCGAAGCTAACTTTCATTATGAATTCCATCGTGTAATGTATAGTTCTATTGTATTCTAAATAGTTGTCTCTTTTCAAGTATATATTGCTGGACGCAACGGTGGCAAGCCTATCACATTGGACCGGAATAATTGTTCCCCAGGTCCACACATTGCATATTTTCTTATCCGCCGAACATGTGTCTAGAAACACTATGATTAAGCATGTAAACTTCTCCAGGTGTACACAACTCGACCGCATGCTCACCACACCCAAAAGTGCCGTCCCTACAATCAGAGTTATTGCTCAAGTCATTCAATGGATTTATATTAATCATAAGCAATGCGCTCGTCGCGCAGTGTGCAGTGAGAGATTCTGCGGGCTGGGCGTGTAAATACTTTGATGTATTCTCTAGCAATCCGGGCATTGTATATTCTTGTACCGACTCCATGGCGGCGTAGTCGACGAATTTGTCACCGGAAGTGAAATTACCTGATCGAAGCATGGGAATCAACTGAATCATCTCATTTGGTAGCATTCTGTATTGATATAAAAATTCGCTGCACGCAATATCATTGCCACAAGTACCGGAGGTTGGTGTACAGCCCTTGAACCCCAACTATTCGCAATAAAATGTTACGTCTGGCAAAGAACTACTATATTGGGCATTCTCTGAGTCTGCTACGTCATTTTGGTCTGCAACAGTCTCTAATACAGGGGTGAATAAGCTCATTTCATATTTTTCTTCGTATCCGGTTCAAGTCTTGTTCCTCTGTGAAAGAATAGATTCATTAGCTGAATCTTTTAAGGAGGATATTAGAATATATGTTGCACTAACTGGGCATCCAACGCTCGTACTTGGGTTTAAGCACTCTTCATTATCCGCTCTGTCCCTCATTTCAAGCAAGTACGCGCGCGGCTGGTACTTCTTGGCCGTCGTTGAGGAATTTACCCACACAATTCAGGTCGAATCTGCCAACATGGTGGCTACACCTACGACACCACATGAACCTCCAATACCCTGGTTAATGAAGTAAGCGTTCGTGTCTGCAACCACATACCGATTGGCATTCTCAGAATCCAGTGTGAAGCTGTCCGCATAACGGATATTGAAGCCCGTATTCAATATAGAGCACACCATTTCTTGGGAGTTAAGCGCGAGGTTCTTAAACACGGGTGCTCCTGCTAGGCAATCATCGTACCTTTTGTCATCCTCGGCCTCGTCTCGTAGCGCCAAATCTATGGCTGCGGTCCACTCATTCCAAATATTTTCAGCCCCAGCGAGGTGATTCTCAAATGGCATCACCGGCGTCTTCCTTATTTACACTTGAAGCATCAACTACTCACAACAGCGCTGCACACCGAGATCATTCCCAGAATCATCGTGATGATGTCTACATTGGATTGGAATTGCTCTCTTATATGTATTGAACTTCAATTTACATGTGGCAAGTGCGGCACGAAACGCACTTTTTTAATACATATATCGCATTCGTTTTGGCATCTGCGTGTATCCTTCACTCCTTACGCGGAATTGGGAATGCACCTGTCGATTCTGTAAACAATTGTGGAATGTGAGTGTGTTGTGTGCATTCTGTGTGCCGACAACGCAAAACTGACAAATTATGGTCGGATATAACATAATCATGACCCTCTAGGTCTCTACTACTAGAGCGTAGAGAGAAGTGAAAATTAAATATAGCTATTAGCGGATCGCCGATCGGATTTAAATGTCTGAAGGACAGTCTTAGCACAGGCCTGCTAACTCTTTTACTTGGTACATTTGGGTATATGCCTAAGATGTTCTTTTAAATTGATCAATTTTTCATGAAAATCTAAAAAATACTTTACCAAATCAATAACTATTTTAAAAATAATAACATTTCATTGGATATAATTTGTTGTTGTTTAATTTTGTTTTGTATTATACAATTTACAAAACATAAATAACAATTTATTTATTTTTAAAAACATCATATCTTTTCTTATATTTAAACTAAAAAATCGCCTACTAACCGGGTCAGAATTTTGGGCCAGGGCAGTTTTGTTTAAATGCGGAAATAGACCATAGCATAATTTGATTAATCACACACTTCTGATCAATTGTTGTTTTTACACCATGTTCATAGCACCAATACTTCACGAGTTATTAGCGTGCCCGTACCAGAGGGTAGGTCGGATTTGTGGTAGGTAAAAAACACGATTGTGACATGCTAGCAAGGTCAAAGAAGCATCCAAGTGTGTTATATATCGCTCATAAGGTGTATGGTAGGGTCACATAAGCCCATGATAGCATAGAACAACGATAACAGGTGGTCACGTTGCGGAATAGTGTAATGACCATCGATTGATGCATGCATTGAATTGACTTTTATTCGGAGGTTAGTGGCAATAGGACGGCCTGTGGTTGCATACCCCAGGATGTGTGCGACGAATGCACATGCAATTGTAAACGAGGACGTTGTTCAGTGTGTAATAGCGCGTGCAAGAAGTGTAAGTGTGCTTGCAACGGTACGAATGGCGCTAGGAAACGTGGTCGTCAGAAGGGATTCACCAAGGTAGTAGGCGAGGTGCAGCGTACTTCATCAGGACGCACATCAGCTAAGAGAGCACGTTTAGATATTGCGGAGAATATACGTGCGCTTGATACTCCATCACGTGCTAAGAGTGCGCCAAGTGAGACATACACACACTCTGAAAGTCAAAACTTTGTTACAATCAGCACGAATAATAACGAACGTCTAAATACAATAGTAGATATCTCACGGACATTTGGATGGAGTCGTAACAGTAGAAAGGCCCTGCCTAGTACAGAATTACACACTAACAACACTGAAATCCAAAGAACACATCCAAATGGCAGGAGTTGCATGTCTCAAATTGTGCTCAAGGCTGCTACCCGTGTAGCAAACATAGTATATACAGCAGATGCAGATGCTTTGTTGCGTGACATCGCAAGCTCTCTCGGTGCTGCAATCAATCCATCTGAAGACGTTAATAAACTCCCTGGTGGGCGAGTATTGAACTGCCTTTAGAGCCCCCAAAAACTCTATACAAAAGAGGGTTATACAGGCTGTACTAGTTAAAGCACTAACTAGGAAAGATTCGCCTGGTTCAATGCTTTCACAACTAAAATTAATGTATCCTGGCCGATACTCTCTACCTAACGAAATGGATATACGGACGCTGATATCTACGTTAACAAGCGCGAAGAAAGCAGCGGATGCTAAGCGGAGATAGCGCAAGCAGAGAAGGAGGCTCTAGCGATGGCAGCCGCTGCTGCGAGAGGTGAGGAGTACGTTCCCGCTACAGGCAAGAAGGCGCGCAAGAAGACTATAGCTTTTCCTAAACGGTATCAAACTGATATGGAAAGTATATTGGCAGACAAAACGGATGTCAGGTGGCAGGAGGCTATACCTTTGATGAAAGAAAGGTACGCCAAAGAGGATGGAAGCCTGTCCGAAGACTTCTCAGAGGATGCACGCCTAAAATCCAAGCTCACTTACTGTAAAACCAAACTGAAGCAGAAGAATCCTAGGTCCATGTTATAAACATGCACGCCCAGATCTACTGCTGACAAGCAGTAAATGGTTGTCATTCACTTGTATGTTTCGGATTATTTGCACTCTTTATTTGCTCGTTTGACACCTTGTTTGCAGGAATTACAGGAGAGACACGCAAAATGTGCATAATGCGCTAATTGCATCTAATGACTATTCAATGCGTCATTCTTACATAACCTTCATATATTAAAACCCCTAAATATAAGTTATAAATGATCTCCAGAGCCTAAGAACACTCGATTAGTGCCACTACAAGTGCATTAGTCGTGTTTAACGTGCTCTTCAGGCCCCAACTTCACAGTACGATTAAGAGGTGAAATATTGGTGCTATGACTTAGCTTGAAAAACAAGAATTGCTCAGAACTACCTGCTTAATCCGTCTGGAGTGATAAAACAAGCATTAGACTATTTCCGCATTTAAATAGAAACCTGGTGCCCCAAGATTTTGGGCCCTGTGGCCCCGGGTAGGCGAAATTTTTTATAAAAAAAATTAGAAAGAGACGGTTTGTATCTTTTTTCTTATTTTGTTTTTTAAAGAAAACAAAAAGAAAGAAAGAAAAGTATGCCACGACCCACGTTCGGCATTCCGCTTTCCTTCATTAGCGATCGTCATTAGTGATGCAATCACCCCAGCCAATTTTCAGCATTGAGCTGTGGCCTGTGGCCGCGGGCCTGTACCCTGTGGCGGTGTGTAAATAGCCTGTGAGCATGCCTTATCGGGTACATAAATGAGGTCGAGGCCTTCTTCTTGTGTGTGAGATAGCTCGACGCCACGTAAATACGCCGCAACAATCAAATGACAAGCAGTGCAGTAGTCCACTCCAGTCTCCACAGTCCACAGTCCACAACTCCACACTCCGCAGCCACCAAACGCTACTTGTATCATCGCGTGTTCATAAAGTAAAATAAAGTCACCACTGGTATCACTGGCGTAGGTGGAGAACTAAAAGCAACGAACCATTGGGGGTGGATGGAGAAAAAAAGAAATCACGATTTGGCCTTTGTGTGGGGGGGGGGTGCGGGGGAGGAGACAACAGTTTACATATTTACTGCCATGTGTTTCATATTTTTATCTTTTGAACGAATATGATTATTGCCTCTATTGTTTTTTTTAAACATAAAAAAAGAAGTTTAAACAAAAAAAAAAAGTTTAAACAAAAAAATAGAAACAAAGATTTACCACAGTGGCATTTTGACAGTTTGAACCTTGAACTTTGAGGGTTTTTCGTACTTCTGTAGTATTTTTTAAAAACAAATGTAAATAACTAACACTATAGCTTTATTGGGGGGTGGGATTTTTTTTTTAAACAACTTTTTTTTTGTCTCCTCGGCACTTTGGCTGTAAATAAGTGTTAAATACATTCCTGTTCTGAACAATCTGGGTGAATTGTATCGTTCAAATAGAAAACAAAAATGATAGGTTTGGAGCTTCACCTTCAATTCGGCAAATATCGGTTCAAATATGTAAGATACATACACATCCTCCGGGATAGACATGAGATGATAAAAAATCACCGACGACGCTGGGAACTAATCATATTGTGACAGTGTAACAATATTGTCTATAAGTGCCTTCAGTATTTGTCACCCAATTATGCTGTGTGCATGTATATTTTCAGCAAGAAACCGATCTGTCGTTGTGTAGCTAACTTCTATGGTAGTTTAACGGGCCCCACCTCTCGACATTGTATCTTTAATTTCGGTGAGCAAGATCCTATAAAAAGCAAAAAGCGATACGAAATTAACCTGCAAAGAAAAGTTTATGAGCGAATCATGTATGACTTGGTATTCCTGAGGTTGGAGTATCCTACACTCCCAATGATTAGTATAGAAATCCACAATTATGACTTTGCTGATGTATACATTAGCGAATTCCAAGATATCCCCGGTCCCTCCTTCTATGGATGGTGCGTAGCACAGCATTGATGCGCGATTAGCATTGTAAATCTTCTGACCTGTATGTACTTACCAGCAATATCATATGTAGACAGTAAATCATTGAGTGAGTAGCGTGGAAGATACTGTCTCATTCATCATATCTCAACATGATTTTTAATGCTATGGCGTCTGGTACTGTATGATACAATATTTGTAAAATGATATTTTTTGATGACGGAGTGCGTACTTTGATATCCGACGCATACTTTCGACCTGGATACATGCGTGCGGATCTAATGAGTGAAAATTTTGTTCCTATGCTCGTTGTCTATTTCTAAATGAAACGATATCGCGAGTATTGACGCATACAAGTGTGTTTCACTGGCAGATGTGATAATTTATCGAGGATTTTACCCATCAAACATTTATCATTGTCAAAGTTCCAGGAGTAACCGCATATTGTTGATAGCTTGATAAGGCGAATTTCTGGTTTATACATACCGGTCAGCATCTATAAACATACCACAAAATCTTCTCTCGATTATTGTTGCCATGTGATTTGGAACTGTAAGCTTCTATGTAGGAGAATATGAAACCTATACCGGGAAGGGAAGTAGCCCATTTGATTAATTCTGGTATCCAACAGTATACCTGTTAGTGGATTTCGCGCGCGTGACCCAATTGGGCGAAGAATGATTATGTGACTTAATATTTCAAAATTCAAACATACCCCAGACACCAGTGAGGCATTGAGTACCATGCACAATCAATCATGTAGGAGTGAGTCTTGTAAACCACAAACCTACAGGCAATATAAACCATGCAGATTGGAGCACATAACATATTCTTTTTCGTAGCGTGAACTTGTACATAATTATCTACGCTTCTTTTCAAACCGCACAGGCGTACACTCTGTATATATTTATTAATTATTTACGATGTATCATGTCGCCATTATTTTTTTTTTGAGTCACTGACTCACTATGTAAAACTTTATTTTTTAACCCCTATTTGTTTGTTTTTTTTAAAAAGGAATAACTAGTTCTCCATTATTTACATCGGACAGACGGACATTTGCAGGCCCCAGCTAAATGCATACGGCCAGACGCCAGTCCGCTGTCCGAACTCCGCCACCCTCCAATTTATTGGTACTGTATTTATTGCCGATAAAATTCTATAGTCGCGAAGTCGAAATCGTGACGACGCGGCATTGCTACAATGTACAGAACTGCACACTGCACACTCCATGGAATTTTATCTATACGACACCCGTCACTATAAAAAATTTATCGCCCGAGCCCATGTCCAAAAAAGCATCCGGTCCATGCGCAAAGGTAGGGTCGATATTTATGGGCCTACGTAAGGCGACTTTGGCCCAAGTACCGAACTATTTAGCGTGTACACAGTAAAAAAAACTTTAAATACCGATACAACACTCAAGTATCAATTATTGGTACAAACATAGCCTTCTCAATTGTACCGTACATAATCTACACCTATCACCTGAAATAGAATACAACGCCTCAGACACTAGAGGGAGAGCCGATGTTCTGTTAAACCTGTGAGCGTGAATTCGTGGATCCATACTTCTGAATATTATAAAAAAATATCGTTTTATACATACATAGCCTTCTAAATTATACAAGAAGAAGAAAAGAAGACTATGTAAAATATGATCGTTTGTGTCCTGCGGACTTGTGTCCGTCAGCCTTATTATTAGTATTTTTTTCTAGGGGGTCATGCGTTTGTTTTAATAGGTCTCTTGGTTTGGTTGCACAATTCATAGTCTTCTAAATTAGACACACAATTGCACTGTAGTTCAACATTGTTGAATTTGGGGTTGTCCCGTTCTGTTGTAAAATTCAGGTCCAAGGGATTTTGTCCTGCTCTGTGATTTCATTACACAACGCAATCTTTTTTTAGAACAAAAATTCAAAATAATTTTATAGTGACGGGACCCTATGTATACTGTATACACTATAGTCTATAGTATACACCATTTTTTTTTTAAACAGGAGACAGGAGTCACACAGACTCACAGTCACAGTCTCACACAGTGTCATTGCCGCTAACTCGCTATAGTCCAGAGCACCCTACGCCCTACGCCTACGACCTCGGCCTATGTTACGGCCCTCTGGCCCGGGGGGTAGCTGGCCCTAATGGGTATATTAAATATTTACCACTATACCTAAGGGGATTGTATTTAAAGTACAGAATAACGCCATGTTCTTTTAGTTTTGTTCTTTTAAACTTTTTTAGTTTTGTTCTTTTAAAAAATAGATGTATTTTTATACTATGTATCCTTTTAAAAAAAATTCAATGTTCAATTGTTTGTTTTTTTAAACGAAGAGAGGGCTCTGTTCCAAGGTAAATTGTTTGTTTAAAAAAAATTCTCCCTATCAGAAAAATAATGTCTTTTTACGGCACTGTTGACAATAAAACTATTAACCACCTCAGGCCCAGTTCCTACCAGTCTCATACATACCTTTTCGACTTGCCGACAGATAACAAACAAACCGGCAGAAAACAAACACATCTCGCAAGTGCGGTCTTAAAATCACGCTAATTACATTAATACACCTATATTTAAGCAAATTAAACTCGAAAAAGTACATAGTATGAGACTGGTAGGAAACTGGGCCTGAAGTGGTTAAAAAAAAATTGTCACAAGTGCCGTATAAAGACATTCTATGAACTTCACATTGATCTTTTTTTTTAAAAACAAACTCAACAACACTCAGAGTCTCAGACTCGGTCTCAGAGTCAAAGTCTTTAGAACTTTAAAATAAAAAATTGAAGTCAGAGTATGACTACAAGTCCAAGACGAAGTGAGAACTCCACTGCGCCCAGCTAGAGTTGAACTAGTCTACTGACACGGTTTTTGAGACCACCGTGCCTACCAATCCACCTCCTATTATTTTACACACTATTAGAACCACACCTATAACATCACATAATTAATTGGTATCTAAGATAAGATAGAGAGAGTGCTCTTTATTTTCTAGTTTTGTAGAACCCTGAAGGGAAGGGACGGTCCTCGGAACCCGGGGAGGGACCCACACCTTCTTTTTATCCCCTCCCCAGAGTCTCAGAGTCTCAGAGTCGACTGTCGACTGTCGACTGTCGAGTCTCACAGAGACTCAGAATTCAGAACTCAGAACTTCAGAAACTCAGAAACTCAGAACACTGAACAGTGAACATTCCAACGTTGAACAGGCTCATATGTACTCAATTACTCATCATATTGATACTTTATTTTTGTATTCGCCGAGCCTTCTTTTGTCCACCAATAGATGTTTTGAAGTGGAGAGAAATTCGTCATCACGTAACCCTGAACCTCCTGCTCTCCTCCATATACCTACTGAGCTGCTCCAATTGTTTCCTAATTCCTGAATAAAGTTGTGTTGGAAAAAAAGAAGGAGTGTCAGCCTGTCAGAAGAAAAAATAGTAATAATATTTACAGCAGCCGGACCAAGACTCCAAGTCCAAGAGTCCTGAAAACATCATTGTTTCTATTTTGTCAAAATAAATAAATATCATGTAGGACTTTGAAGTTTGAACACAGACTGTATTTATATTTTTTTTAGACGATTTTTGATTTTCTTTTTTGCGAATGTAGCTCTCCCCCTATTAATATTTACAGCTTGTTTATAGAGTCTCTTGCGAAGTTGCGTACTCTCGAAGTTTAGACAATTGTCTGTCTAATACATATTTAATTTTGGAAGACGAAGAAAAATACTCCCTCGGACCTCTTTTTTCTTTTAATACAAATTAGTTATTTATGTAGTAACCTACGACCTACGTATGTGTACATTGTACGCATATCGGCTGCCGCGAGTCAATTTCAGAGAAATCCAAGTATGACGCACAGTTCAATCAAGAAGTGTTAAGATAAATAGCTTATATATAGCTTATATATGAGCAGCCTTCAAGGGCTCTAACATATCCAGTGTACACAATGCAGTGTTTTGTCAAAGTTACTGCGTAAGTAAAATATTGACATGCATTGAAGGCCAGGGCACAAGATGTTTACCACACCGATCGATTGTCCTAAAAAGTATTTGGAACGGCAAAGATATACATCTTCCCATAGCAGCACGCGATCCTGGGAAAATCATGTGGCAAACACCAGGAAGCACGCGCCTCTAGGATCGCGGGATAGCGGATATGAATCATGCCTGGACTTGAAAAAGCAATGTTCCTTTGCTCCTGTACCGCTGAAGGCATCCTCCGACTGCATTGAAAATACATTTTCGGCATCGAAAAAGCCAAATTCTTTCGAGGACCCTGAACAGCTTGGATTTTGTTATAATAATACAGCGAAAAGGAAAACAGAACTTCCGAATTACGAAACAAACTTGACGGCTAGCGAGGCCGCAGATCGGTTGCGATTTATGCGTCATTATAGTAGCCTCAGGTGGAAGCGTTAGCCGCGAACGACGAGAGGCACTTCTTGCAATCGAATTCGGGGTTAAATAGAGACGCACACATATATTTAATACGCACGGTCGACTGTGTTGAGTTGTTGAATTCCTAATCCTTCATATTAGTTCAGCGGATGATATATTTTCTAGAATGAATTCAGCAGATACTACAACCCCCAATGATCGTGTGCCATTCGCTTTCTGTTTCAGCAGGTTGTACAAAGCATTATCCGAAACTATTAAGTTCAAGTTGAAACTTCAATATAAATATTCTCACAGCCTTCTGAAAAAGCACATATAAGGAGATTACATATGATACTGGTATTTGTATTTCTATGAATAAATTTGTAAGAAATCTTTTACATTTTTGTATCATGTATATGCGTTAGAGGACTTGTTTATCTCAATGTGCACGCCATATCCATGAATAGGGCGAACATGTGAGTGACATTGTCGAGGTAGAGCAGTCACAACAGCGCACAATGATGAAAGTAAGTTGCATTTTTTTAATATACAAGTCTATCATTTTTGTGGTTGAATGATGTTCAATTCATTCAATTGAAGCGTGCCCGTATATTGTCGCGAAGTGGAGAACAGAGACATAATAGAGAGATTCTGCAGACTCGTGACTTGATGCAGCCACCATTCGCGATTATTACGCATGATGTAGGAAAAACTTCAAATGCTCCCCACGCCGCAATGCAGTCAAAGTCAAACCTGTGTTTGTAGGGTTTTTTTTCTTCACAAAACAATAAAAATATCAAATGAGGCACGATTTCAGAATACTCTATTATAAAATTGAGTACATAAATATTTATTATTGTCAGTTTTTTTGTTTTTGGGTCTGTTCTTGTCGTCATGCCTTTTTTCAAGACATACTACACGTAAGTACATTGTTTTTGTTGTTGTTGCAAATTGTATTACATACTACAAGCAACAGAGCAAGAGACCTAAAGCACTCCCTAAATGATTTATATGTATATGAGAATACCTAATATCTATACATGACGGTAGATCCACACTTCCAGGATCCAAAGTTACGGATAGACAGACACATACTGAACTACGAGACAATGAGTGTGGACTTGGCTGAGAGAAGCAGCATAGAATCATGCCCTTCGGAGACGGTATGTGCTTTTGATACTATTTCTTCAGTAACTATGGAGCATGGATTTGTCGGCTTTATCTTAAAAACAACTGGACACAAAATATATGCCAAACATACCAACCGATGCCGGCACATGTAAAAAGTGCGGATAAAGTTTTCGGCTTTGCAAGTGCCAGAAAGATGCCACGCCAATATGACTTAAATATTTAATGTATATACACTGTATATATATATATATATATATATATATGTATAAATATATACATATATTTATGTATGGAATTATATAGATATATATATACATATACACACTCATATATATATATATGTATATATGTATATATTTAGATATATCTATATATATATATAGATGTATATATATATATATATATATATATATATATAATATATATATATATATATATATATGGGTATACATATTATATATATATATAATGAATGGAAAGTATGCTCATTCTAGTCGCTCACGATCCTGCCCCTCCTACTGTGATTATACAGGGAGATTGCTTTGTTACGGAAGTTGAGTCATCCACATCTCATTCAGTTGTTCGACGTGCTCTACAACGAAGAAAAACAAAAATTGTACATCACCATGGAATACTGTATCGGCGGTCTGCAAGAAATGATTGACAACTGCGAGAATGGTCTTCCCATTTGGCAGGCACACTCGTAAGTGCACGTGTGATTACATATTTAATACATCTGTCAGGCTTAAGTTTTTTGGTCTTGTTGGTCGCAGCGCGGCTATGTATTTACAGATGCACACCATTGCGTATGTGATTTGATTGAAAGCTTGTGATTTTTAGGTCTGAGTTGCTGTTGATCATTGTCGATTTGCCCTCCTCATGTCTGAGCGGTTACACCTAGATCTTCTCGTATGTGCTTGGATCGCCTTTATCATGTCAGCTCAGTGTGTGAGGCTTCTTTTCGCAATGGGGAATTTTTACTCAGACTCTCATGTATATGAGAAATGTTCTAACTATATACTTAGTTTAAATGTACGTGCCTTGTATAAACATAGCGGACTTACATTCCTGTTCATGTATATGACGCTTTTTTTTTATCGTTATTGCTTCCAGATATTTCGTCCAACTGGTGGATGGAATCAACTATATACACAGCAGAGGCGTAATTCACAGAGACATCAAACCCAGCAATCTGTTGCTATCACGCGAAGGAGACATCAAGATCTGTGATTTTGGTGTAGCTGAGGTATATTTGCGTTTTGTCATATTTTCCTATTAAACAAACATGGGGCCATTGTTGCACCTGGGGGAAGTGTGCTGTCGTATCTGTTCAGTGCTATAGATGTTGTTGCTATAGCGCAAAGAGGACCTTAAAGTCTAGCTTTTCGGCGTACCCGAATAGATTGAGACATTTCGTATGTGCCCCAGCTTCTATCGTAATGCGATTTTTATTCATTCGTGAGAGGTGTTAACATCCACAATTACGGTGTAGCCACGGTACATGGGGTGGTTTGTCGTATCTGACTAATGATAGTAGTGAAATCTACTGTTGTGCACGAGAGGTACAAAATCTGATCTGAGATTAGGCGCCTTGTCGTACTTCAGTTATAGTAGTGAACTATACTGATGTGCATGAGAGGTATCAAATTCCTAATCTTGGATTCTGCGTCATGTCGTACTTCCCCAATTTTGCGAAGTATCGTAGTCCATTGCTTTCATCCGAAGGGAATATCAATGTCTATAATTTTGGTGGAAACCATGGCTTGTGCGGCTTTGTCACACACGTGCACAGATTGTATAGGAGTGTGTCTCTCGAACGCGAATATGGGCTGTGATATGTGTGCAGAGCTCACCACTCTTGCAGCTGGTCAACTATCTTGTTCTCTGACTGGTTTGTCTCTATATTGTGGGTCGGGCATCCCCTTTTGGTGATGCCAAGTTTTGATTTGTATCGATTTGGTACCATGTAGTTTTAGGCCCATATAATAGGTGTTCATTCAACTCGAAACGGGAAATAAATACTTGCGCGCCTACAGGCTAGTATATGTCCAGTGCGAAGTATCGATAGCAAATGTAGTGCGTTACTTAATTGGTTTTGCTGTTTTGAACCGCACCAATGATACGTATCTGACCAGGGACAGGAATTGGATACATACGCGCCTACAGACAAGGGTACGTCTGGTGAAATACACCCATATACTAATGGCCAATATTACGTTGCATATTTGATTTTACTGTCGTAAATCATCACTAATAATATCTACCTGATTAGGAACAGGCATTAGACATATCCGCACGTACAGAAAAGTGTAAGTCTGGTGAAAAGTACACATGTCAATAGTACATTGTTTGATATTGCTGTTGTAAATCAAACTGCTGATATCTAACTCGTTAAATTTGGAACAGGAATTGGACACATACGCACCTACAGACAGGTGCACATCCAGTGCCGGCTCTCCAGCATTCCAAGCACCAGAGATAGCCGCTGGGAAACCAGAGTACTGTGGGTTCAAGGTGGATGTATGGGCACTAGGGATAACCTTGTAAGTGTACCTTCTCCCGGTCTTTACCCTCCAATGGGTGGATAGCTAAAGGGTTTTCTTGTTAGTTGGTTTGTCGCTTCGCCAGAAGGTGGACTTATTGGCTACAGCGAACCCAATCTTCTTCATGATGATGAACCATACTTATTATATATTTGCGCTTCTCCTTCTACCACAGATACAACCTGACTACCGGTGAATATCCCTTTAACGGAGACAACATATACGACCTATTCGAGAATATATCAGCTTGCAAGTACACAGTCCCCGACCACATCGATGATTTCCTGAGGGATTTAATATTGAACATACTGTGCGAGGATGTGGAGAAAAGGTTCTCGCTGGATCAGATCATGCACCATGAGTGGTATATGGGTTCACCAGATAAGAGTGACCCGGCCGCCCCATTGCCGGTAGCAGACATATATAACAGGTACGTTATAAAGCGATCTCATATTTGTGCTTGGCGTATACAGACACAGATTACCCGTATTTTTGAAAACAGGTGTAGATGTAAATCTGCCAATAGTTGAGATACACAACCTTCTGCAACCATCGCAAAAGGCCCATGCCTTGTCGTTGTATCTTTAGGTGCAATGCGCACCGTGACGGTGCTGACCAAACAAACGCTCCTCAGGCGTTTGCTACCGAGCCAACTGTGTCGTGGATAGGAGCACTATACATGACATTGCATATCCTCGGCTTTGTTGCGACCACTGTGTTAGTCTCTCATGAATTTTTATATACTTTCACTTCACACAGCACAACACTTATTCATTACTAACTGAACGTGAGCACCATAGCTCAACTGGCATCTTGTTCGACGTCATTAGCAACCTCCGTGCTACTCTCATAGCTACTTTTTACCTACGTCCACTCGTCGCAGCACAACACCTATTCTTTACACTGATCGTGAGCACCATAATTCAAATGACAACTCTTCGGCGGCATTAAAAACCTTTGTTCTAGTCTCATGGTTATTTTTATCCCACTTTCATTCCCTACAGCACAACACTTATTCCTTATTTGGAAGAGTTGTACGACGACGTCGAGGACGATGATGACAATGTGAGCACTCGCCTGGAAGTCAATTCTGGCTGGGTCCCCGCGGCTGGGCGAGAGTCGACCAACTTCCATGACAACTTAGAGGCAGGGGGGCATCATCTGAATCCACAGCGAGGCACACAATGCTATGGTGAACAACCCAAGTATGTGCGATAACATGTTATTTTAAGGTAAAATGTTAGTAATGTGGTACTCTATGCCATGGTGAACAACCCAAGTAGATACAAATATATGTTTTGATGGTCACAACATTTTCAAAGTGGTACTATGAAACGAACGCGACCAGGTGGCCTACTCGTGCCAGCGGTGGCCACCCTTGGCTGTCTATAACTAACTATTGACATGATCTGTTACATAGTCCTTGATAGACGAAACTACTTCGCTTTCATGTGCGTATAAATGCGTTAGTCTCTCGGAGCTAACGCACTTTGATTTCGACATGCTACATATACCAAATTGAATTTTAGATGCTAAATGTATGACACTGATTTGAGTTGCTAAATGTATAAAATCGATTCCGAGATGCTAATTGTATGAAGTCCTCCCCATGGATCACTTGATGCAGATCAACGTCACCGCGAACAGCCGACCTCGAAAGGGGAAGTAATCCAGGACACAAAGGCACAACTCGGTATAGTGCTTGCAGGGTTCTAGGGTTCTGGTTTTGTAATAGGGGTTACTTGTATCGGCAGTCGTGAGTGATTTTTCTCGTGCTGTTGGTCATGTGCCGTCTTTCGTCTTCAACATAATTTTGATGTTACCACGGCAATTGGATTCATACGAATGGTTTGGGTTGATGCTCCAAAGATATAGTGATCAATTAGCGGGATTATACCCTGTGTAGTGGCCTGCGCAGGGTATATGAAGTGCTTGTGAGCCGCCTTTCTATGTGGATTATAACTGCACGCAAACGACTGTACTTCTTTAAAGTTAACAGCTTTGGCTACTCTGCACTCTCCGCTTCTCTTTGTTCATCGTAGCATCCGCCTCGAATTGTATATGTATTGTGAACAGGTCGGTCGCTTTGCATCAACCTTCGCGCTATCATGTGCCTGAGATGAGAATAGTATTGACGCGCCAATCATTTGGTTATTTGTCGTATCTTTCAAACGGAAAACCCCCTGTCTTGATTTTTTTGCCATTGTACTCAAAAAGAACCCCGCTGTGTCATGTATCTTTTTGTACTACTTTTCAAAGTAAAACAATCCTTTACATGCATTTGTCTGTCATATTACTCAAAGCAACAACGCTCTATTTATGGCAGGGAGGAAAACACGATACGACTGACCAAATCAAGGTCGACCATGAATGCCAACGTCCAACGCAAATCCGTAAAGAAAGTGGGATCAAAATGTAGTCCAATGTAATGAGGACCAATAATAAAATATGTCGAACGTGTGTCCGCAACATGGAACCCGAAATGTATAGCGCCGGAAATTTTGCATCAGAAGCTCAAAATTCACTTGTCTAGTGAAACCCGCAGATTGATTTGGAACCGTATTCGATTTTATTGGCTGGTATTGAGCTAAACGCTGACCACGATATAATATTGGCTTTTCTTTTTCTGAACGAGGAGGTAAATGTGGAACTTTAAATTAATTTTGATTTTGTCTATTTTTTCCATATCATATACGAGCTTCATCTCCGGTTTATAAAGCGGCATGGGTAAATTTATTTTTCACAGTAGGATAGCATCTTATTCTATTCTATAATTGTGGCGAGACTATCTCTCCCGGCATGCGCTGCGCAGTATCCGCAAGCATATACCGCGTATAACATATATATATATATATATATATATATATATTAATAAATGCATATATATATATATATATATATATTATAATGCATATATATATATATATATATATATATATAANNTATATATATATATATATATATATATATATATATATATATATATATATATATATATATATA